AGAAAAAAGATCATAGAGTCAATTGGGAGGTGGTTAAAAGAAGTAAGAAATTTGGAGGGCTAGGGTTAGGGAATATTCTGGATAGGGATGTGGCTCTACTTGCAAAATGGATTTGGAGATTGCCAATTGATAGGGATAAGTTGTGGGTGAAAGTGATTATCAGTATTCATAGTCTTGCAGCTAAGGGTTGGGATGTTAGAGTGTTGGCTAGGGTTACAAGAGCTTCCCCTTAAAAGAAGTAAGAAATTTGGAGGGCTAGGGTTAGGAAATATTCAGGAAAGGAATGTGGCTCTGCTTGCAAAATGGCTTTGGAGATTGCTAATTGATAGGGATAAGTTGTGGGTGAAAGAGATTATCAGTATTCATGGTCTTGCTACTGATGGTTGGGATGTTGGTGTGTTGGCCAGGGTTACAAGAGCTTCCTCTTGGAAGTCTATTCATGCCATTCTTCCTTCATTCTTACTGTTTGTCAGGTATAACCCTTGCTCTAGTACTTTTGTTAAATTCTGGGAGCACTTATGGTTGGGTAATGCAATTCTATAAGAGCAATTTCCCTCAATTTATGCAATTTCTAACCGAAAGGATGAACCTATTTCCTCACTCATAAATGATTCCAACTCCTCCACTAGATTTTTTTGGGACTTGGGAAGTGAGGTTTGGAGTAAGCCTATTCCACCTAGGATTGGTGGCTTCTATTGGGATGTGATTCTTGGTAGGGTCAATACTTGTGACTTGCTCCAAAGGAAAAGACCTAACTGGTGCTTATCTCCTCATTGGTGTCTTCTCTGTAAGGCTAATGGTGAGTCTTCCTATCACTTATACAAAGTCTATTCCACCCCACCTTTGTTAGATGGAAGAAAACAAGAGGCAAGATTTTGTGGATATGTACGAGAGCTGCTATGTGCTGGACAGTGTGGGAAGAAAGAAATCAAAGATTATTTGTAGAAAAGGAAAGAAATAGGGAAGCCCTCATTGAAGCAATTACAACCAGGGTGTTCCACTTGGGTGAAGACTACGAAATTATTTGAAGGAGTTTCTGCTGCTGATCTGAGGAGAAAGTCGGGTAAGTGGCTGACTCTGCCCCATTGAAAACTGTAATTAAATCATCCTGGATCCATCCATCTAATGGATTTATCAAATTGAATTGTGATGGTATAGTGAGGGTAATCCTGGACCTTCAGGCATTAGGGGGGGAGGAAGGCAATATTAGGGCTATATTTTCTGGCCCTATTGGTGTAGGTTACTCTTTGAGAGCTGAAATCCTAACTGTGATGGAACGGATTCAGAAAGCCAAGGAATTAAATATTTCCAAACTGACAATTGATGGGGATTGATCAAAAAAATAATTGAAGGGGACTCAAAGCTTGTTACTGGTTGGCTCCAAAAGGAGATGGACTAGTGGGAGTATATAAATGAGAAAAGGAAGTTCAGAGTTATGCTCAAGGAATGGAAATTCAGTTTAACTGGATTAAGAGAGATACTAATAGCTTGTCTGATGCTTTGACTAAGCAAGGGGTGGGAAGAAATGATTTATTCTGGGTTATGCTATAATGTTTTCATTTTTGGGGGTGGGAGCTAAGAGAGTTTATCTCCCCTCTCCTTCTTGTATTTGCTTAATTATATCTTGGTGAAATCCATTCAGTTATTGATAAAAAAAAAAAAAGTTCTTTGTACAATTGGAATATAGTAGACATTGAGCAATCACACAAGAACTGGAGAATGCTTAAAACAAGGATGTAATCCTAAAGCTATCTGTAAAAATAAGTCAGACAAAATGAAATGAAAACTTTTAAGTTTTTCTTCTCCAATAATAGTAGAAAATATAAGTTGAAATACATTGACGCCTAACTCAACCAAAACCCAGTCCTAACAACCAGGACAAAAACATGTACGTAATTACAAATCCTCTTGAGCAACAATACCTAAAATAGACCATAATCAGCATCACAAGGAGACATGTTTTTGAACTTAGGATGGACCAACAGCCAGCTATAAGAAGTGAACCAATATCCAGAACAACTTGGCTTGTATCTCTTCTCTTCCCATTAAAGATTCTTCTATTCTTTCCCTCCATAAACTCCAATATATTGCTCACAAGGAGACATGTTTTTGAACTTAGGATGGACCAACAGCCAGCTATAAGAAGTGAACCAATATCCAGAACAACTTGTCTTGTACCTCTTCTCTTCCCATTAAAGATTCTTCTATTCTTTCCCTCCATAAACTCCAATATATTGCTCTCACCAAAAAAATAAAAAATAAAAACTCCAATGTACTGCAAAAGGCATCTGACTTGAGAAAATTTTAACCTTCTTGCTCCAAGAAAATGATGGCCATTGTTCTAAAACCATGGAGATATGCCCCTTATTCCATGGATGATTTCACAAGAGGATATTGATCAAAAAAAAAAAAATTGATTTCACAAGAGCAAGACCTAGAACTCAAGAGTATTGGAGGCCACTGATAACACCTCAACTTAAGCTGAACTTTGATGTATGCATTGTTGGGAATCCAGGACCACCAAGAGTAGGAGGAACTTATTAGATGCTATGGGAAACATTATTGCAAGTAAAAGAATGGAAGGACTCCCCAAGCAGTTTGTTGGTGCATATGGCAGGAAAGGAATGGAAGGACTTTTGAAATTCAGACTTCTCCTGTTGAAAGATTTGTGCAAAAGATGGAAGGCTAATAGCAAAGTGGGTATCCATCAACAGATTATTCAAGGGCCTTAAATTCAATTGTTTTTATAGTCATTGACTCAGGATCTTATGGGATGATTAGTTGGCCTTGCACTGCTCTCCTTGCTTTTCTCCTGTACTATTGTATCTGGTTGTTGAGGGAACTTCTCCCTTCGCTTCCACCTTTATTTTATGGTTTTTAATGAATTTATCTTATCTCTCGAAAAAAAGGAAAAAAATAAACTGAAATAAATCCATAGACAATCCACTCACCAAAACTGAATGATACAGATGAAATATAATCGAAGTATCCAGCTCCACCAATACTCTCCATGTCCCACCAACAACAAGGGCCATTGGAGTTCAACCCACAATTTCCATTAACACTAACTTCAACCTTGAATTACTACCAGCAATTCAGCCCTAATTGAGTCCCCCATACCCACTGGACCCTAGAACAAAGCAACAACATGTCCATTTTTATTTCTGAACAATTAGTGTACAGGATTCTTGACAAAGGTTCAAAGTATTGACACACCCCAATACGCCATAGGAGGTGTATCAACACTTTGAACCTTGCACATGTATTTTGTTTGTCTTTCTCAAAATATGTCAGGGGTCGTTTTAAACATTGTTTAACATTTGAAAACAAAAGTTCTGGGAAAAGATATTAGAGACCCCCTTTCAACCTAGCAAAGATTTTTGAGACTAAAACATCTTTATGTTATTTCTGTTTTCTGAACCATTTAACTGCAAGAGCACCCTTCCTGATCTTCATCGAAACATCAGGCTCCTCATTGATTCTTTCCAGTTCCATGACAGAAGTTTTCTCAAAAACTTGACCTCATCCACCTCTGTACTTTTCTCAGTATCAACTCTTTCAGGTCTATCTGAACTTAAAATGATGTCAGTGTCATCAGAAAGTAACAGACTTTCATGAATATCTCCAACACCCTCCCGCACCTGAGGCCTGAATGCCTTTCTAGTATATTCCTCCCCCAAGACAAGAATACCAATGCCTTGCCCACTTTTACTCCTGTTTTTACAATCTTTTCCACATCAATAGATTTTTAAATAACATAAATCTCATCTATAGGAATTTCTTCTTTCTCTGAATCAGAATCCTCTTCTTCCTCCCCTTCAATTCCTTTTTCCACATCATCCCCATCATCCTCTTGTTCCATACCATTTCTTCTCTTGAACACCTTTGAAGGACCCGCTAAAGCTTTCCCATTTTTTACATCTAAATTTTCCATATTCCTCTCCAAGATTAATTGTTTATGCAAGTATTTCCCCAATGCAACTTTTACCCTTCTTCCATCCCTCTTTTTCTTGTAGTTTTAATTCCCTTCCTCCTTGACCTAACATCAAACTCTTCTTTCCTTCTTCACCCCTGCCTGACTCCCATTCAGTGTAAATTCCCTGAAAACTCTCCTTCTCTCCCCCCTCTTACCCTCTTCTTTTTTTTCAATCAGTAAAAGTAAATATTAAAACCAATTTGAAAGTTACATCAATGTATTACACACCCCAAGATACAAAAGATTACATTTTTAACCAAAATATTTGTTGCCTATTAGCCCCTTGTTTAGCTTAAGCATCTGCCATCCCATTTGCTGTTCTTCTCACCCATTTAAAAATAATAGTGAGCTCCCTTGCTATGCTTTCAATTTCCCTAAAAATGTGTCCATAGATCTATGGTATTTGATTATTGCATTTTGTCCAGGAGATGACCACTTGGGAGTCCCCTTCCACTTCCAATTGCTGGAACCTAAACTGCTTTGCAAACTTTGATCCCCCCCTCTACCCTCTTCCCTTCCCAAAGATACTGTAATTACATTTTCTAATGCCTTCATCACCAATACAAACTCTATAATCTCCCCCTCCCTGAAAATTCTCCTTCTCTCCCTCTCCTGCCCAGAGGCATAATTCACTATCAATGTTGTTGACCCCAAAATACCATATCACAAAGATTTAGATAAAAAATAGATAATGCACACTAAGTATGGATTATGACAATAATATTACCATGAACAGATGAAGAAGACATTTAATATGATGATTAGGTTGACTGCTTGACAGAGGAAGAACAATACAGGACTGAAAATAACTAAAGACTCTAGAGGAATACATAGAGGCTAGAAGTGATGAAGAAAATAGTTATTTACATTAAAGTGACCAACTCCCTAGATCTTTGTGAGAGGATATGGTTTTTATTTGATGATTTATTGTAAATAAAATGGGTATACCATTCTGAATATTGTTAGGCACTAAAAACATGTTAAAAATTAAAAAAAAAAAAGGGCTATGGACAGAAAACTGCACCTTTTGACAGATCGGAAGGTTCAGGTACATTAAGCCAATCATATGATTTTACATACAGTGAACCATACAGAAGTTTGCTCAACACAGTCATTCCAGGATGATTATGAAGCGGTATAATGGAAGAAGGTGGCATGCAAAATATTCCTATCTGCAAAAAAAATAATAAAAATAATAATAACGGTTAGGCACATCAATAACTTCTGCCCACCCAACTTCCAACTTACCAGAAAATTGTTTGCATTTCAGCCTACTAAAACCAATTGCAACTCATTTACTGACAAAAAACACTTGATAATGTTTAAAGCTTACAGAGAAGCTATCACACTCATGCAGGTGTAGATATTTGATTTGAGGCAGGTAGCTCCCATTCCGACCCTTCTTTCCATTAGTACCATGTGCAGAACCTTTCCATGAACGTACCAATTGTGCTTCCTGTTCAAGACCTACATCAGAAGGCCTGATGGTATCTGAAATAACAAGCAATTCAATGTTAAGAACCATCAAAGAGGTGACCTAGAAGAAACTTGAAACTTCAAGAGTAAGCATGTAGCCTAAAGATAGATGTTACATTTGAAGTTCTCAAAAGGGTAAATTACTTGTACCTCTCCCTGGGTTTTGGTCAAATATTAATACCATCCCTTGGATTTACCTACTTACTCACCCCTTATTTGGGATTTAGTCACTTAATCCACCCGTGCACTAACATGCTGTCAGTTTTAGTGTCTGAAAATGCTTATCTGACATTTAGAAATTGCCAAAAGTTTATTTTACCTTTTTGGGACCTTCTTGTATATTATATGGACAAAGCTACCTTCATTTATGCTTCTTGAAGGGACATTTTTTCACCCATTAAAATTAAGGTGTTATGAATAGTTGAACAAAGGTTCTAAAAAAATGGAATAAAATAAAACTTTATATGGTAAAACAGTAATTAGTGTTTGTAATCGTGGGTACTTTTGTTAATTTTAAAACACATATTGGAGAGGTAAAGTACTTTGGTAATGTATCTATTTCCATCTTAATTCTGTTACTTCGATTAACAAATCACATGTAGTTTTGTGGTCATTGGTCAATGGGGCTATAAATTGTTAGATAAACCTGACTGGTGGTACAAGTGTTTGCCCAGAACCCCAGGGGCGGTAATAAGTAGTTTATCCTTCTTAAAACACCAAAAAAAAATGTTGCAGCCTGCAAGAGACAAACATCAAAAATAAGATTTTCCAAAAAATCAGCAATATATGAGAGAGATTTCCTGAAAATAAAAAATAAAAACCTACAAAACAAGGTACATCAATAATACAGTAAGAAACTTGTCCACTGAAACTTATTATGAAGTCAGTTTGTATCTCATGCTTATGACTTCAGCACCATAAACCTTAAATATTCTGGTTTAAACAATTTTATACTGTAGATTTTTTTTTTTTTTTGAAACTGTAATGTAAAGTATTTCATTAAAATCAAAAAGACAAAATACAATGAAGCCCCTGTACAATGAGAAACTTAACAGAGGATATACAATTCAGCCCATTATACTCTAGAATTGTAATGTTGCCCAGGCAGCTTATGCCCCATATTTTAAGTAATCTTGTAATTTAAATGCTTATACTTGTTTGCATCTGCATATAGTTTATAACAGGACTACAGAAGAGTGCAACAAAATAACATAGATATACAGTGAAAAGGAAAGACAGAAGACAATAGTATATAAGCAGAAATAGGTTCAGCTCATATCAGAGAATCCTAGTTTAAGTGGAGCCTTGAAGGTTCCCGTTATGAATAAAGACAAGAAAAGTAACATTCTTATTGCTCATAGTAGTAGATACTAGATACAAACAACAAAACAAATGATTCCAAGGGATAGACTTTGGGATATTAATAATACCTAAAGTTGAACAAAAAAAAATGTAGTGCAATTTAAATGCTTGAGTGCGAACAGAAGCAAAACCTTGAGAAATCTCACCGTGCAGGAGTGGGGAGTGATCAAAAGCCTTGATGGGGACAAAGCGCCCTAGGGTTGGATGGCCTAACAAATTTTGTTAATGTTGGGATGCTTTTTTTTTTTTGAAAGATCAAAGGAAAATTCATTAAACTAAAAATGTCCAAACATCTCAAAGAGATGGTTGTCTAGTTGACAAACCAACTACAAAACAGAAAAGACACTGAAAAGAATCAAGTTACAAGGATTCAACTCCAACAGCCTCCAGAAAATTCTCAAACAAATCAGGCTCATTCACTTGCACAAACTCAGGAAGACAGAAATCCCAAACTGCCATCAAAATGCCCATTCCTGCAATAAGAATTCAATGTTCCACCAATTCTGCTCCCTCCTACCTTCTCTCCTACCCCTCACAACCCAGCTAGAACCTCATCTTCCTCCCCCTCTCCCAGACTTCCACCAACCCTGAGATCACTCAACTTCATCCAGTCCCTCCTCTTCTCCCCTTCCTCATCCCACCCCTTAATTTTTTCTAGGTATTCTTCCTTTTTCTTTTTCTCTTCTTTTTTCTTTTTTTTCATATTTCTCAAATGCTATTTTCGCGAATCCTTCCCCTCCCCAAAAAACTAAACCGAGAGGCTTTCCTATCTCGACCTCCCTATCCACCAATTTATTAATATTCACCTTCCCATTTTGAACCATTTCCTTGACTTCTTGGTCCTTTTGTATCGGTTCCGCTCTTTCTCTCTCTCTATTCCTGTCCCTACCAATTGTGGCCTCTCTTTCCACTGATTTCTGGAGAGGTACACAGCCAGTGACACCCTCTTTATCCACACCGTATTGTGAACACAAAATCTCTTCTGCAACAGGACCCATCAACACTCACCTTGTCTTCTTGTTCTTTCCTCGAATGGGAACCCGACAATTTAGCCTGCATCATTGACCACTTAAGATCAGATTCGGCAGACCCACTCCCTTTCGCATCTTTTCTCCTATAGACCCATTTATAATTCTTTGTTGGTCCTGTTCCAACAAGACCAAGCTTCAGCCTTGAAAAGATTTTTGACACATGCACGACATTATGATTTCTTAAACTACGCAGTTTTTTGACAATCACCTCAGAAGGTGCCTCCTTCTCATTCTCCTTAAAACAACAATTGTCTTCAAAACAACTCTCCTCCTCACTGTCAACAATGACGCCACGATCTGTAACCTCCTCTTCTCCGGTCGCAGAATCAACCTCAGAATCAGCATCTGAACTAGTGATTACATTCCCATCCTCTTTCAAAGCCTCCTCTGACTTCCCCAACCCCTTAGGACCAACCTCCACAGTATCCAAAGAAGCAGGGAATTTTATTTCATAACCAGAATCTTCGGAAACTGCTTCTGCAATCCTAGTCTCGAAAGAGGAGCAAATCGCCACAAGCACACTGTCGGCCTGTGAGCCATATCTGACGTCACTCTCTACGAAAGAGGCCTGATCATCAACGACCCTAACCCCTATTCCTCCAATCAAGCTCTTCTTACCGCATTTATAATACCTAGTGATCACCCAGACCCAATTCTCCTCCCTTCTAGGCTCAATGTCTTCGGAAGACCTGACTAGATGAGGAAGGGTGATGTCTTCCTCTGAAAGCAAACAATCCACAGCTTCCTTTTGGATCTTCTCTTAAATCTCCCCTTTCGACTTCCCAATAGACATTTCTTGAAGTGAGCCCCACCTATCTTTAGTTCTTTTCGAAAATTTACTTCTAAAACCTTACCTTTAAACTCATATCCCTTTGAGGTCGCTCCAACACTGCCCTTAGAGAAAAGAAAATCTCTGCTAACCTTGTGGGCCCCACATCCATTTTGCTCCACATTCATACTCGAAAAGGAGCAAATGGCCTTACTGGGACCAATCTTTGTATTAAAACCTCTTGCCAGGTGTCCCTTCTCAGCTAACGTCCCTTCTTTTCCTTCCCCAAAAATTCCTCTTTTGCCATCCCACCTCTCTAGACTCTCCCCTTTCTCCTCTATGTGGCTCTCCAACTCCCCGACTCTTCATATCCCGCCATCTTCTTCCTCTTGACTACTGGAAACTTGCATTTGTAGCTCCCCTTTCTCCTCTTCACGACAAGCATAGTACTGACAACGATTCAGCATAACCATTGTCTCCTCCTCAAGCCAACGAAGCGGTATGCATCCTTCAACCACCACTCTCAGGTCATACCACTCCCCAGGGAAACTAAGCGCCAGACTCAACGAAACCAAATGAATGTCCTGCACTTCGACCAGAATTCTTGCAGCAACCAAGTTCTTCATCTTGAATGTGTCAGCATCGACTCTTCTAAAACGACCACAAGTGTCTTCCACTGTGCAGAATGCAACCAAGTTCCAGGCATGGAGAGGGATCCCAAACATGTTTATCCAGACCAGGCTTCAAATCCCCACTTCACGTATTGCCCCAACTAAAGGGTTCCACTTACCTAGCCCGAGATTAGATGTTCTGAAACTGTCTAAACCTCGTTCCAGCACTTCATCTGCCTCTTCCTTACTGTTAAGAATGAATGTGATAAGAGGGATGGAAGAGTTCCATAGAAATTGGTCTCTCAAGAGGAGTTTAAACACTGCATTTATAACCTTCAATCCAAAGATGGAAGGTTCTATTTAGTTTAAGGATTTTTTGCCAATTAGTCTCCTAAATAAGGGAAGTTCAGTGCATGAGGCTCCCACCAATGCAAGGTATGGGGAGGGATAGATGTACACAGCCTTACCCCTGCAGCTACACAGAGAGGAACCCTGGTGACCCAGGTTGCAACAAAGCAACCTAACCATTGTGCCAAGCCAAGGCCTACCCTCTCATAAATCTCCTAAATGATTTCTACAAAATCCTTGGAAAAGTGTTGGCTTAAAGGATGAAATCTGTCCTTGGGAGCATCATTTCCAGCTATTAGAGTGTTTTTTCCTGGGTGACAGCTGCTAGATAGTAACCTTGTGGACAATGAAATGAATTGATTGATTAAGAATAAAGGAGGGGAGGCCTGGCATTCTTTTTTTATCAAAAACGGTAACTTTCGTTAAAGATAATTTAAAACTGAAATACAGAAGTCAACCCCTATTAGAAGAGGTTGATCCAATAAACATCAAACATTACAGCACTGCCCAGTAATCTCTCCCTTACAGTTCCTTGTTTTGCTAAGGTGTCAGCAAAACCATTTGCTGATCTCCTTACCCACTTGAAACAAACACCCACCTCCCTTGTTATGCTAAGTATTTCCCTTATCAGCTATCTATATTGTCAAATTCCCAGCTGCCCTGATTGCATCCACCCAATTTCCAATTTGGAGCCCCCCTCTATCTCAATCTGTTGTAGCCCCAATTGTTTGGCCAGTTTTACTCCTTGATGTAGTGCCAAGATTTCTGCTCTTAAGGAATCTCTAACTCCAACTGGACCTGAATACAGAGCCATTATCTTGCCTTCATTATCTCTGAAAACACCTCCTATACCAGATGAGCCCAGATTACCTATAGAGCTTCCATCAAAATTCA